TCATCTTCTGAGTTTTTCTTTTCTTTCTTATCCTTCTCATCACACAGGAAAGAGATTGTATAGACAAAGGGTATCTCGACTATGACTACCCTAACATGGCTCTCATCTCATGAGCCATACTATACTATCGTCTGATCTATATACACCTTTCTAAGCAAAGCTACTACTTTCTTTATTTCTTTTACTGGGTCTGTGGCTTGCTCAATGCGACTCACGCCCATGGCTTAGCATATTCTCATCTCTTATCTTTCTTAATTCGCCTTCTATACCCCGTCAATAAGAACCTGTCAAGCTTTCACCTCAAGAGGAGCACGTTATACTCTTATCTTCGTGCTCTGGATGATAGTGCCAGCTGATTCCCTATATCCTATAAGGGCTACACTGTGGATGGTCTATATTCATCCCTACAGCGCTGGTGTTTGCAGCATCATCCACACATCATTCCGTGGAGTATGTTGATAAGCACTACTCGCTGTGCATTATATCCCTGGAAGATGCAAAAGCTTCCCAACCGCGAATTCATTTGCGGTGATAGCATTTCTGAAGATAATGAAGGCTCAGGCTTCCGTGGATCGGCCCTGCAAGCTTCAAGCGGTCGCAACCGTTCGCAAGTGTCAGGATGGTATCGATTATGCATCTCTCCTTACTCTACCTTCTATACATCTTTACCGAACGATTTTGGACACGACCTTCATTATATCGCCACTAGGTAGCAGCAACACTAGCATAGATGGTCGTTCGGACCGGGTCTCGCCATCGCATCAAGACCGCTAGCTTACTCTGTTTATGATTTGAGCTTCAGCTCCAAAACCGGAGTACTGTCACTGATAGGTAAGTCAGTCCCTACGTTCCAGCGTACACCTGACTCTCACTACCATTCTCATACTGACAATGCACTGAGATCTAGGCAGAGCGTTGCTGAGCGCAGTATCATTCATCAGAAGAAGCTCTGCGCGTCATCTTCCTCTGCTTTATCCCGCTAGCTCCTAGACATGTCTAACGGAGCAGCCGATACTTGGCTTTTAAGTATCGTTCGGACGCAGTGTCTGCGAAGAAGACGTTTTTCAAAGGTACTGAAACATATCTTGGCACGATCTACAACATGTCGGACCAATTCATCTAAGTCTAGGGCAATAAGCTCGGAAACAACCGGTGCCAGCTAACCACACCCATGCATCTTTCCCAGCAAATTGTCTACTTCCGAATAAAATAGAAACTGACGTCGCAGCATCGCTGCAAAGCCAACATCACATCGCTCGAAGCTGGGTTCTGCAGAGTCTTGATGTCTTGTGAGTGAACAACGGGAGCATCTACAGATATCAGATCACTCTCTAACAAAGTACCCGCTACAGTGGGATCACACTGTCTGGTGGGCTGTTTGTAGTTTCAGCAACCATTTCAGTGACGACAGGGTTTTTACGATGAGCCATGCGACACGTTGCCATCAACACGGGTCCAGGTCGATTCCTCCTCCATATACGGTTACCGCCGACAGAAGTTGCGCAACTGTCAACAAATCGAACAAGCACAAAAGCGACTGGATCATATAACAAATAATATAACAAGTCACGGAATCGCATTTGTGTCTTGCATGCTTTACTTGATGACGACCTTCCTTACTCAAAACATGTCCCTTTGGTTTCGAGCAACCTAGAACTGGTCTGTCGACATGTCTAGGTGGAATTGGTTCTTGACCTAGACCAAGGTTCCACTTGCTTGTAGCTTGTGAGCCATAAGTCGACAAGGATGCACGAGCACGATTACTGTACTTGCTTGATTTCGCTCGCACGCAGTAACATATTGATGTGGATATGCTCGAATCACTACTATCGAGGACCCTTGTCCAATCTTCCTACCGACTTTCTGTCATACCCATGCGAGCTCCAAGAGAAAACGGAGCCATCATACCGTTCCTAATACTTCCAGCATCTCTTCTACTGTATTACTGCACTCTGATTTCCTGTGATTCTGCAAGGATCAGACAGATATCTATAATAAATCAGAAAACCACCAAATTATAATCATCTTGACTTTAAGTCGCGAACCCGCAAAGCTGAAGATGAAATCATCAATTCCGGCTATTCTGGCGTTCAATAACTCAGTGACAGAGCACATTGAGTCCCTCTTACTTTTCATCTCATTATGAAGGGGTTTCGAGACCTTGACTAATCATATTATAAGTTGAGCCACATATATTGGCCTGGGATTCGGGCAACAATGGTCCCGACTTTCACGGTCCCTTATACGTCATGGGCAAGCAGTTATATACGATTCTAAGTGAAAATTCCCAGAAGAGTAAGTCTCACGTCCTCGTTGACAGATGCATGACCATTCAACTGATGGCTGCGACTTTCAGATAACGATATTTGAGACCACTGCCGGTTAGGACATAATCCGCTCATACTCCTCAATCGCAGAGGTACTGGACAGCAACAGATGTCCGTCATTGGTACATACAAGGAAGCATTGACTCGACTAAAGATCGAACTCGTCTTATCTCACACCTTTTATAGGCAGGGTATACTACCAGAAAACGAATCTGCACGCGATGTGGCCTGTCAGTTGCGAATCCTGCTTGCCTATATACCCCAGAGCAAGCGTGTCATGTTCTGTGCCATGTAATTCTTCTCTGGGATTGCGCACCTGAATCCTATATAGAAGCTATACGGAGGGCCTACCCTCGCAAAGTCTTCTCCCAAAGACTTCTCCATTTTCCACTCACCCCAATCTCCAACCTGCAACACCCAAGGCTGACATTGCAACCATATTTCTCTTTGCTCATATGATCGTTGACCAATATGCCACAGCCCAAAAATATGTCCGAATACTGAGTGTCTTCAATCGCTGCTTTACGAGATACTTCCGACTTTTTCGGGCCTCCTGCCGATAGTAATAGATGAAGCTCATACGGAGACTGGACAGCCATACTTCGACTCCAAGTCATTATATACGATATACATATTTGTCTTTGGACAAAATGACGGAAACCGCCAGCCTGGGTGTGGTTATCAACCGCATTCCAACCCGGCCAAGAAGCAACGTTTTCGGGAACTGCTCCATACCAGATGATCATAATGATAACGAAAGAAGAAGCCACGCAATGGAAGCTTCATCGAATCATGCAATGTATTGACGACCACTAAGCGCACGCCAAAACGTGCTACACCAAATAGCCCTGCCGGGTATCGTTGCCAAGTCACTCCCAAGCAAGAGCAGTGATCGATGGCTTCAATCCCAGATTGACGAAGAATACAAGTCCTCGTTGATTATAACCACAGTGGTAGGCAATACCCTGTGCACGGTCAACACACCGTGTCTGGAATGCGCTTTACCATATGCTATATAAAGTCGCGTCACTTTTACCGAATCATGCCACACTCTATCTTTGTCAGAGGCTTCAAGGAGCGGCTTGTGAAAGGAGCAATAATGTCGAATACACTTGGGTCTTTCAAAAACCATTCATGAGCTATGCGATCACTTTCTTACACTCCACCAACAGACTAATTGGTCCGTGACGCAGAAGAGGGAAGAGCCAGTATTGGTACAGGATGACGAAGTGCCTAACATCCACTTCCTCGCTTTCTCTGGCAACTGCTCGAGCAGTGTCTGGCGGTATGAAAGTACCATTTGTTCTCTGTGGCCAAGGCCTGTGGCTCACTTGATGTGAACAACAATTCAGCTTCGTGTTCTGGCAACTCTTGATAAATATGGACACCACTCCACCCAGTCATCAAAACCTTCGCCTTGAACGAGATCCACGAAACCAAGTCATTGACGTGACCTCAATCAGTGCTTTCGAAAGCTTCGACACGTTGATCACAGCCAACATGCGCAACGACGTACCTGATATATCTAAGGGACCAGCCTGCGTACTTCAAAGGCTTCTGGGACATCAGCTCATCTTTCACTCCTCGAATGAAGCTTTTTTTGATACCTACAACATCAACTCAAGTTAGGAGCTTCAAATGACAATGTCACAGCAATCTCCCTTGAATGGTTGCATATCGCCCCCTTGTGCATATCTTCGAGGACTAATTCCCGCTATACAAACTTCGACCCATGACCAGCAGAACACATCGCTCCGAGCAATGGACGCTTGTGTAAAACACCAAGCAATCGAAGATGATATATTTGGCAACGGTACAGGCCATCTATGAACGCTTCATTCCAGCTTACCGCCTTGACATGCCCTTTATATTTTCTGTAATCTTACTGGGTCAGCTTTATACCCTTTGGATGCAACTATTACGAAAATAGGCACATCCCTAGCTGTCGAGGTCAGCCCGTCCGTGTCATTGCCAAAGAAAGCATGATGGCCGGATGAGAAGGAATCTTCTTCTGTAACCGAAGGAGATATTCCCCATGAGCGATGGTGGAGGTTGGTGCACGATTCTCATGTGCACCGGCATTGATGCCGTTGGACGTGGCTCGTTGTCGGTATACCTTCACACCTCATCGCCAATGGAATTTACCAGCCGAAGTGGCCTGCTTGATACGCGAAGCTTAAAGTCTCCAATTGAGTTCACATCACTAAGTCCAACCTCGTATCTTCCTGTTCCCGAGTATCATTCTCCGAATGCCGGGTGTGTTGAAGGAATGGCTTAGACGAAGCAGATAAAGGGTATGTCTACGGAACATCTTCCCTGGAACTCATCGGCTTAGAATCAGTCCTTCCACTGCCTGTCTGCGTCTGGCAAAGGTCGCTGGTTCTTTCCTGCTTTTGATGCTCCAGATGCGTGATGGATGCGGCGAAAACCATCAGCCAATGCTGTCTGGGCGCTGTACAATCACTCACGGCTACGAGTCAGATCCGGCAAAACGTCACTTTCGGAGGCAAGTGATAAGTTACATCTTTCTCCGATATAGCGCTGGCGGAGCTGGAAGGCTTGCGCCTGTTAGCCTATATAAATACCAGCCAAATCTTTCTCTCAAAAACAGGGTTTCTTTCCATAGAAGATTCCACGTCGAGCAGCACCTTGATCACTCTTCAAATGATTAATGGCCTACCGAGGGAAAGCTCTCAAGCCAATGTACGGGTCATTGCTCTATGTGATGCTACTCTCGTCTTGATGACACCTGGAACAAATGCTTCGACTGCCTGTCTGGTGGTTGGAAGAATCTGACGGCCATGACTGGGTTGAAACGACGCGATAATAGCAAGATTTACTTTGACTCCCCCGGTCGAGGAGAATGGAGGATTGCGCGCCATACCATTGTGTCAGACTATTCCGACGAAGTTAATACTTGGGAACTTAAGATAGACACGGATGGCTATCGCTTGCACTCCTTACAATATTCAAGGATCCTTCTCGACCATCTCATATTTTGCTTATGTGGAAGATCCCGTATATACTTTTCGAAGAAGTGGATGAAGAATTGCATGTACGGTACGATCACGGCATTGATACTCTCCGGGTCACTGACGGGTTATACGCCTGTCTGTCTGTCATGTTGCCATGGGGACCATCTATATAAGAGGATTCGGCAAAGGAAATCCCTCTACCTTCCTTCAACGCGAAACTGCTCAATGACAAGTTCACCTCATCTGGAGAGAAGAACTAAACTCCTCCAGTGACTCGGAAGCATGGTACAACGAGAGACTATCTTGGATACACCGGGTCTTGAGAAGCCACCCTGATAATATCAGATGATGAAGTGCTGCTGCCAATAGTCAGAGCGCACATAAGACTTCATTATCAGTTAGCAAGGAGAAAAAAAAAGCACGAACATAAAAAGAAGCTCAGAGATGCGAAAAACGCGCGGTTCTTCCCTTACAGTATAAAAAGTGCTTTCTGTTACTTGGCATTTGCTTTCTTCACACTTGCGATATGCAGAAACGCAGAAGACACTTATGACCCAGAGTTCAGCATTGCCCCATGTGCTGTGGATAATATCTCTACCACTTCAGCACCTCGATGAGGGAGACTCGACTAACTACCCAACCGACAGAAAAGTCGTCTGTCCAAACAGTCAAGCCCCTTCCTACCTTGCCAAAACTCACCGGGAAGACTCTTCTGGTGAAAAGAGCATCTTCCCATTTCATACTACACTTCCAACAGTAATCCTCGGGCACAACGAAAGAGACATGACTATTTCGAGCTCACGCAACCGACAGAGACTTTATCCATCCAAATTTTCGAGCATCCTTCTACCTTGTGTCATCACACGAATCGGAAGCCACTTCAGACGGAAAGGTCATTTTCGCATACCATACACAACTCCACACAGTATTATTAATAACACATTGAAAGAGACACAATTATTTCGAGCTCACCCTACCACAGAAAGAAGAGCCAACTTCAACGCTTCCTGCACTCTGCTTCCTTGTGCCGTCACACACACAGAAGACTATTCTGATGAGGAGAGAACCTTCGCATACCATCCTACACTTCCGACAGTGCTACTCCAACACAATGAAAGAAACATGGGACTCCAATAACAGTTCCAACCTGATCCAACCGACAGAGGAAACAATATCCACTAGACTCATCAGGTTACCTCGTTCCTTCAGTCAGCTCTGGAGACTTTCCAGAACAAGATAAATATGACCCGTACAAGACACTCCACATCAACGTCGACAGCGGCTGAGCAACAGCAATTGGCCAGCTATACTTTTATAAAACACATGGTCTCGTGTTGATTTGATTTCTCTCCCAGGAAGAGATAGCTCGTTGGACACAGGACATCCCAAGACCGTCAAACTGCTTTTTTTTCCCCTTCAATCTTCCAAGAAAGCATCAGTACGACGCTAAGCGAAACCACTCTATCTTAACCTTGACAGTAGTTGCACAGAGACAATCAGCCAGCTATAACGTTAAACAACACATAATGTCACGTCCAATCTCTTTCCCAAGAACAATCATCTCACGGAAGCGAGAACATCTCCAACCTCCTTTCTTGAATCGTTCTCACAAACTTCCAAGAACACATTGAGACATTTCCCACAACACACTGCATTTAACTCTTCTCAACAATTCCACGGAGCCAATTGGCCAGCTACAATTCTGCACATGGCTGTCCTGTTCATCCAATCCTACTCTCCTTACCTGTTTCTTTCTCATTGAAAAGAGGACATCCCAAATCTTCCTCCTTGAATCGAAATCTGCCAAGCTTCAAAGAGAGAGAGAGAGGGCTACTAAATGGTACACCTTGGACGACACTCGACACGTACCTCAACTCGACAGCAGTCGAGCGAAATCATCGAACCAGCTATAATCACCCACAAAACACCACATTGCATCGCACAGAGAATCACCCCATACAGAGGATCCCTGCCATTCAAAAGGCATCAATTCAGCGGGAACAATGACCATGATTACCCATGGCTTGATCAAGAATCTCATCTCCCTACGAGTATTGCACTCGCCATGGGTTGAGGGGTTTGAGCCCAATATATAGTTCAAGCGTGAAACCTGGAGATACTGTCTATCGAAAGGCGACTCTGGATAAATGGTTGGACTGTCGCTGGGATTAAGCGAAGTGCAACTATGAACTACAACTACAGTTGCGGTATAGTTTCTTGTGGGAATAGACTCCGCCTCGCAGGTCGGAGTATGAATTCTGTCTACTTGTCTACCATTATGTTCATGGGGAATATGTGCTTATTGGAATGGTGGGATTTGCTATGTGCATACTTAGTAGTCGTTCATTGATGATAACATGGGAATGGGTATGGTATCTGGTGGTGTGCATAACTATCTTCATTATTATCTATTTATTGGGTATATTTGGGTGGACTATACGTAGAACCTCAGGTCATCATGCATCTATAATGTATTGGTTGATTAATGCATCCTGTTCGGGCAGTAAATAGTACTACGTACCTTTCTACCGACTCACCTACCCTAGTAGTGGTCTACCTTGTAGTTACATATGCAACGTGACGGGTGAGACTAAAGTAATGTATGTTACTGGGACCATGCAAGCCCACGAACGCAAACAACATGATGCGAAGCGATGTTATGCCATGCACATACACGTTACTCAATGCAAGGTACTTTGTGGGTCCTGAGAGGAGACAAAAGAGGAAATGGGGGTGGGTAATGGTATAATGATAGCGATTATTTGCTCTGCTTTGGTGGGTGTGGTACAGGCAGAGTGGGTATGTATGCATGTATGTAACATTAGAAGAAAAGTCCAAGAAAGGAAGTAGTATGAACATCCGGGGGAAGGGAAGCAAGCAAAAGTACGCTCTGAGATTGGGTGTCAGTAAGGAAAAAAGATGAGGCTGGATGCTTGGGTCATCATCATTGCCGTTCCCTTCATGGTGATGGTAGCGAAGAATGGAAGAAAATTAAATCGGCAAAAGGGTAGTAGGTAAGGAGGTCTGTGTCCCAGAGCTGGGATACGAAGTGGGAAGGAGAAGGACGTCTGGGCTGCAAGAAGCCGGCTAAGAAAGTGGAAGCATTCTAGCCTTGCTTCAGCTCGGTCCAAAACGCCATTGTCATCTGATGGGACGGTACGGATGAAAGGTCGTAGTAACTAGTAACAGCAGGTACACAGCCCTAGCGGTTCACTGCGGGTTGTACTTGTCCTTCCATATCCTGTCGTTGAACAAGATCATGTCAGCCTAAACTCCAGAAACCCGCTGATGGGGGGAAATGGGGCTGTGGTTGGCGGAGAGCGTGACGCTGGTTTGCATGGCGCAGGGAAGCGGAAACTCCGAGCGCCTATCAATGCATCCCGCAACAACACCAGCAAGTGAGGAGAGCCGGGTGCAGAGCGCTGGGGTCTGAGGCAATGCTCATCACACTGGCCCCGTGGAGGACCCAGAAATGGGCATCAAACAACGAACATACGACGCTAAATAGGGATAATTTAACGTACCAGGAATTTCCCACTAATTTGTTGCCTTTCTCTTCGGCCAATCGGTAGTATTTGGCGGCCGTGAACTAAAACATGGCGTTGCGAGTCAGTCAACTGCTCATACAGATGATCAGATAGCACCGATGGATCCAAAGAGTGATGCGGGCTTCAGGCATTGATGCCCGAGCTGCGAGGCCCTCAGGACACGGGCAGATCATGTTGCGATAATCATCACGTATGAACCATGACGCAAACAGCACTAACCTTGTCCTTTTTCCCGCCAAACCCTTCTAGGTAGCACCAAGCAACCTCGTTCATCGCGTCGGTATCACCCAGGTTGGCTGCCGTTTCGAAGTATTGTCGCGCTGCGACTGGGTCTTTCTTGACGCCCCAGCCATTACGGAAGCAGTTTCCCAGCTCGAAAATAGCCAACACTAGCTCTCCCTTGGCAGATCCGCCCTTCTTGATGCCGGCCTGGAGCGCCTGAGACTCTATCGATGCCGAGTTGGACGCTGCGGCCGAGAGATACATGACGGCTCTATCAGGATCTGGCGAGCAGCCCCAACCATGTCTATATCAAGCCCAAATCAGTACCATGTAGCAATAATGTACATCGAATATGCAAACAACGATAAGAGTCGGGGGTAAATGGAGCTCAACAAAGGTACGGTTGCTACTTACCGGAGCGCTAGCCCATAGAGCACTTGACTGAGTGCATTGTTGGCACCGTTAGGGTCCGCCAGGTGCTCAAACATCTTTGTCGACCGTTCGAGTTCTGTACACCAGGTGTAAGTGACTGAGCAAGCGGACAGCCAAACCCCAAGTTATGCCCATACCTCCAGCTTCATGAAGTCGAATCGCTTCTTGTACATTGATCTATGCCACAATTAGATGAAATGCATTGAGAACAAAGCAATCTGACCACTTACATCCCCTTCTGGATCGTTTATGCGGCTCCGACTAGAACTCCGCGACCTCGATGGCGCGCCATCCAATCCGAAGCCTGTCGGCGAAGTAGGCGACAGACACGAAGCTCCGGCTTGCGGGCTGCGCTGTGCTAGCATCGTGGCCCTCTTCTCCCATTGTGCCTCCCTTTCTTGCTCATCGCCTCTATCACAATTTATCTGCGGAAGGTCGGATGGGACGTTGACTGATGACGAGCTGGAATTCCGCGACCCCGAGCGATCCAAGTGCAGCAGGTGCGTCAGCCGTCTTTCTCCGCGCGGGCGCGTTGGTGAAATCGTACCCGAGGACTCTGAGGGCGCACGCGAGCGACGGAACGGATTCAACGATTTGCGATGCGAAGGAGAAGGAGGAACGGGTTCTAGATATTGATCGTCGGGGTGATCGGCATCTCCGTCGAAGACAGGCGGACGGATCACTTCTTGGGAGGTTGTGTCGGTTCGAATGAAGGTAATCTGAGGCACATTTCTCCCGGAGGTCGTGGGAACGACACCGGACGCATAATTGTCGGCCGTGTTGTTGAGGGCGTCCTTCTTGTGAAGTATCTCGCGGAGCGGCATCGTTGCGCGGCGGCTTATCGCGGAGGGTGGATACTCAGCGCCACAACCGGAAAGAAAATGGGGAGAAGATGATGGAGAAAGGAATCGGAGTAGACAGCTGGTGAAAAGAAATCAGGGTTTGATGGAAAATAACAGACTCTTCGGCCTTATACAAGGATGGTGGCAGGGCACAGGCGCTGAGTCGAGGCTGTGAACTTTGTTTCATGATGGATTGCCTGTCATGGTTATTTTTATCGTTCCTTTAAATCACAGCCAAACCGTGGTTTGGCTGGTGTCTTGGCCTCCGCGGCGGCAATTTCTTCATCTTGTCATGTCACACATAAAGACTCGAGCAACTGCGCCTGGCTGATTGGTTTGACGCTGCTGGACGAGCGTTGTGAATTGATGGCGCTGGTAGTTGTGGATGCTCCACACGAAACCCCTGGTTAATGTCCTGAATCCTGATTGATGAATTACCGGCAACTGAAAGAGCGTCCCTCATTGTTCCCTCTCCACCACCAACAACAACCACAACCGCAGTTGCTTCGTAGGGGTTTCATGTCCCAGTAGAAGAAAGAAGGCATG